AATTTCCATCTTTTATATACAGACTATGAATAAACATTATATTTGTTAAACATCGGCATGTGAGCATTATTTTATCAGACTATAGGCACTTAGCCTGATACATTAATAAGTTGTTCATCTCTTTGAACAGCCTTATAGAGATGTTAGCATGCTCTAAAGGCCTAATCTTTCCTTTTAATACAGCCTATCTATCCATTTTGTTCCATTTACACAATTCAGGGCACAGGGGTCTGGAGCCTATCACAGCTGTCATAGTGTCAAAGGCAGGATACAACATGGACAGGTCTCCAGGCTGTCTTTGCGAGGAAGCTGGAGTACCTGGAGAAAACATCCATGATACGCATGATTTAGTGTATATAGGGCATTTTCAAAAGTTCGGTGTGGAACATGGATTCGTTTTGACCAGCAGAGGTGAAAGAATTCACCAGGAAGTAAGGCGATAAGAAATCAGTGATTCAATGAATAAAAAAGAGAAACAAAATAACCATGTTTGCCCCACTGGCTGGATATTTAAGCAGAAGTGAAACTCATTAAATACAGTGAACTTTAAAACCTAAACTATTTTGTATTGGGTGAAGTCAACCAAACACAAAATTTGCAAAATCTCACTGGCCTGCTGTGAACATAACTCTCTCTCTTTACGTTAACTTACACAAATATGGTTCCATTCTATTAATTTAACCTTTTAGACGATGTATTTGCTTTGCATCTTTGCATCTTTTGCGTTCACATCAGTGGCAGATTATTGGAAACAGTTCAAATGGTGCCCGTACAAGCCTGTGCAGCATATTGATGATTCACACTTGTGTCATCTTTCACCTCGTGGCCTTGTGGGTTCAGGTTTTTCCTTGATTTTTAAAAAAACTCTCTGTCTGTATATATAAGCTTGTAGATGCGCCCCATTGTGATTTTCTTTTCTTCCGTTGAGCTGACTGTGTCAATCTATGTGGGAACACTGCAGCTCCCATCAAGCTGGTTCTGGGTTGGTTGGCTTCTACAGCGGTTGTGCGTTCATACCTGTGTAGAAATCAGGGGTTTTGTTTGTTGGCTTGTTTAGGGCAGGAAAGCTC